CTCAAGAAACCTTCCTTAGACATCTCTGTTTTAAACAACTATCGACCCATCTCTGTGATTCGCTTTATCTCAAAGATTTTGTAAAAGATTGTGTTGTGCCAACTCCAGTCATTTCTAAACACGTCAAAAATCGTAGAAATTTTTCAGTCTGGTTTTAAGTCTTTCCACAGTCCAGAATCTGCTTTGCTGAGAGTGCTAAATGACATTTTAGTTGCTACTGATGCTGGTGACTCTGTGGTTTTAATTCTTTTGGACCTATAACTGCAGCTTTTGATACTGTCAATCATTTGCTTCACCTATCTAGATTAAAAGATGTGGGGCTGAAAGGTTGGGTCTTGAAATGGTTTAAATCCTACCTAACCGAGAGATATTTCTCAGTCAGGATTGGCAGTTTCGCCTCCTCTGCTGCTCCTCTTGAAACTGGACTCCCTCAGGGCTCTATTTTATCTCCCTCACTTTTCTCTCTGTACATGCTTCCTTTAGGCTCGATTATAAGAAGGCATGGTATCTCTTTCCATTTTTATGCGGACGATACGCAGATCTATTTGCCGATAAAAAGAAATGACCCCTCTGCATTTACATCTCTAATGGACTGTCTCGATGAGGTAAAGCTTTGGCTGGCAAGTAACTTTTTAACTTTAAACGATTCAAAGACTGAGGTTATAGTTTTTGCCCCATCTGACAAATTTGAGTTTGACAACACCACTTTAGGTAATTTGTCTATATTTAATACAAGCTGTGTACGGAACCTAGGAGTTTTCCTAGACAGTCGAATAACTCTAGAGAAACAGGTGTCTTCTGTTGTCGCCACTAGCTTTTTTCAACTCCGCCTTCTAGCCAAAATTAAGCATTTCTTGCCCGAAAAATCCCTTGAGACATGCGTTTATAACATCCCGCTTGGATTTCTGTAATTCATTGTACTGTGGCATTTCTAAGTCCCAGCTCGTTCGTCTGCAATTGGTCCAGAACGCTGCGGCCAAATTTCTCGTCACTCCCATCCTGCGAGCCCTCCATTGGCTACCAGTCCAATTTAGGATTGACTATAAAATTCTCCTTTTAGTGTACAGATGTCTGCATCATCTTGCCCCAAGTTACCTCTCTGAACTTCTACACTCCTATAGTCCGTCCCGCGGCCTAAGATCTAGTAAGCTAATACTCAATGTTCCTCGTACTAGACTCAAACGTAGAGGAGATAGTGCTTTTTCGGTGGTGGGGCCTCGATTGTGGAACAGCTTGCCACCACAACTTAGAGTAGCTTCTTCCTTATCTATTTTTAAATCTCTGCTGAAAACCTACTTGTTTTCATTAGCTTATAATATTTTAATACTAATGTCTATACTCTGTACGTTATCTATTTGACTTCATTGTCTTCTGTTCTATATCTATACATGTAGTTTCTTAGTTGTTGTCTCTTTGATTTTTAGCTTATACCTGTACAGCACTTTGGGCAGCCATGTGAGTGTTTTTAAATGTGATTTATAAATAAATGAACTGAACAGAACTAATCAACTTTAAAAAAAATTGTGTTCATGCAAAAAATTAAGTTCCTCAAACTCAGTGCAGTTTGTTGTTCCAATATAATTTCATTAGAAGCTGTCATAACTCAAAAAAAAATCGATGCAAGCTGTTTTTATTAAGGCCAAACATTTGTTTTAAGAGTGTGTCTGTGATTGGGGCGGGAAAATCCCCAATACATTTGCAAAATAAAGAAAAACTCAATACAGACCACATCTTTACTGACTGTATTTGTTTGTCATTTAAAGGAAATTCGTTTTTGACTAGTTTTTGTTTTTCTCAGCCAGCATAAGTCTCAGTGGTTCATGCTCATGTTTTTGAGGAATATTAAACAACGCTGTAAAACAGTTTAGTCCATTAGCACAGGTGTTGTGTTTCTTTCTGGATCTACTGAACGCAGGCCTCATTATTCTGAACTTACACACCTCAGGTTTGAAATAAAAAAGAAAAGAAAGAAAAGAAAAAAAAAGCATTATTTAAAGTCCCCATGAATTCAAAATTGACCATACTTACTTTGTTTGCCTAAATTGATCGTTTTGTGGTGAACAATTCATCCATGCAAGTCAATCCACACAAAACATTTTTTGGCTTCGTAATCTTTAATCAAAATCTGAAATTTCCCCTCTGCGTTGGAGGACCTTGCCTGATGACGTAGGTTTCACGGTTTGGGCGTCGGCTTAACATCCATAACCACGCCCCTCCAACTGACAGCAGACAGGCTGAATGAAAACACCTACTTTTCTAGATCCAATCAGGTGCTAGTTGGGAAAAAAGCCACGCCCACCATTTTGCCTCATTTAGTATTCCGTTTCTCTCGGAAATACGTCACAACACTGGAGAAAAGTCGTTTGTAACTTCCGGTTCACGGGGACTTTAAGGGTAATTTTGACTAAATTGAATACAAATTTAAATTATTCTCTACAATTTATCACATTATATGGCTTTAATGTTTAACCGGGAAGTTTGCTTTGAAATACTTTTTTGTACAAAATGGCACAAAGTCGCACTTGTGGTTCCGGGTAAAAAATAACCGGCTTATAAAATTGCTTGTAAATCTCTCAATATAATAGCCTATATTATAATATATTTGTCAACTTGTTTTCTTTCATTTAGCACAGATTTGGTGTTTCTTTTGGATGTGAATGATCGGCCTGTTTTTCACAGAGATTTACAGCTTCCATCCAACATTAACACCTAAGCTTTATTCCACTGATTAACAAACACAACCAGAGGGAAGTACGGTTTAAAAAGCCTCATAACAGCGGATCCATGTAATATTCAGCTGTTATTAGTGGTCAGTGTCTGCACTGATGCACAGGGTTAGGAGTGCACAGCCGGCTAGTGCGGTGAACATCAGCTGTGGCGGGAAACGCGGTCGATCACGAGCCAATGTGGCCTTATTATGTTTACTCTTTGCTGGGGAAGTTCGTGTAAAACAAATCTGCTCAGATTTAGCGCAAATACTCGAGAGTCATGATATATTAAATACAGCACAGTGCAGAATCTGCTCATATCTGCTTGAACACACACGTCACTACACAACTAATAACGGCGCGCTTGTTCGTTTGCATTGAAGCAAAAGCGAAGACTAAAAAGCATCTGGTGAACAGAAGAGACGTTATATTCCAACATCCTACATTTTTTTGATGTTCTTTGTACTGTATTGATATGTCCACCTAAAACACATTTTTGGTGAAAAGGATAATGATGAAAGAGGAATAGATGAGATGCTGGATGGCAGGATTATGTTTGAATAAATGTTTGAAATCCAAATCTTACAATAAACTAAATGTGATATATATAATATGATCAACTGTTGGTACAGTTCACCTGGTAATCTACACTTATTTTACTTAATTCAATAATCCAACCAACCAATAATTAATCTATAAAGCCTTAACTAGTTTTCATTTTTTGCAAAACAACAGGTCACTTTAGATGAATCATGTAACCAATCAACAATCATAAGATGGTTTCAAAAAAACAAAATTACTGTAAATATACTGTTGAACACTTAACATTTTAAGTTTAAAAGATGAGATTTTCAATAAATTCTACAAACATATTCAACTCTTTCCAGGACAGTGTGTGTGGCTCTTAAAAGAGCCTTTGTGTGAGCAGCTCCGGCCTCTACTTGGAGCTGGTGTACTTGGTGACGGCCTTGGTGCCCTCAGACACGGCGTGTTTGGCCAGCTCTCCGGGCAGCAGCAGACGCACGGCGGTCTGGATCTCTCTCGACGTGATGGTGGAGCGCTTGTTGTAGTGAGCGAGACGAGACGCCTCACCGGCGATGCGCTCGAAGATGTCGTTGACGAAAGAGTTCATGATGCCCATCGCCTTGGAGGAGATGCCGGTGTCAGGGTGAACCTGCTTCAGCACTTTGTAGACGTAGATGGCGTAGCTCTCCTTCCTGGACTTTCTGCGCTTCTTGCCTCCCTTCGCGGCGCTCTTGGTGACGGCCTTCTTGGAGCCCTTCTTAGGCGCGGGCTTGGCTGGTTCAGGCATGATGAGATGATCGCAGAGCTGACGAGTCAATGTGAACTCAGCAGCGACACTGAGGCTTTTATTCACTGCATTATGCTAATTTACGAGGAGACAGGGGGTTCTTCTGATTGCATGTTTTCATTGGCCAAACCCATAAACTCGTGTTTCATTGGACAACTCAAAGCATCAAATGAGGAATGAGGGCCAATCACAGGCGGTAATAGCCCCGCCCACCACCCCACGGTTGAACGACGCAGTTTCTTTTGTTTCATTTCCGCTCTTTTTATTTAGGCTATAGATTTTAGTAATATTCTGATAAATTAAGCGGCTCTAGACACATATTTTGCACCATCGTGTAATTAAAACTCCATATAAACACATTTGAAGGAGTTTTGCAGAAAAGAGACCAATAACGGTCGGACTCCCTTTAAAAATCCCTGACAGCATTCAAAAGACAACTGAAAACTCATCTCTTCCGTGACCACTTAACGTAAAAAAAATATATATATAGTTTTCCTTTTCTTTAAATCCTTGCTTATCTGGCTTATGCTACTCCGAGCAATGTCTTAACTTTGTATTTTGAGCACTTCTTGCGTTGTTTTTGTGTATTCACGATGACTCGCTTGGTTTAGTCCTCAGTTGTAAGTCGCTTTGGATAAAAGCGTCCGCTAAATGACTAAATGTAAAAACAGCTTTTCCTCAGAACATTGATTCATGAAACCGTTGAAATGTTTAAACTACAGGAGTAGCACATACAAGCCCATTTGAATAATAACTAAATTAAACATGTTTTTGTTTTCTGCATACTTTAGTTTAATATTTGATCTAATTATCTTTTTTGTTCGTTTTGTATTTTAGGTATTTTAAGTTGGGTAGAAAGGGTGAAACAATATGCTATTAACCTCCATAAATTACTCTAAAGTTTAATTTAGAATGTCAAAAAATCCAGAGACTTTAATAAAAGCCTTTTATATTTAATTTGATGATTGACACAGCTAAATCATGACTCTTTCAGTGCGGGAGTGTGTGGCTCTTAAAAGAGCCGTTGGGTCCGTCAGTTTCTCCGGGTTTCAGGCGTTTATCCCCCGAAGCCGTACAAGGTGCGTCCCTGTCGCTTCAGCGCGTACACAACATCCATGGCGGTGACGGTCTTTCTCTTGGCGTGCTCGGTGTAGGTGACGGCATCGCGGATCACGTTCTCCAGAAACACCTTCAACACACCGCGGGTCTCCTCGTAGATCAGCCCGGAGATGCGCTTGACGCCGCCGCGGCGAGCCAGACGCCGAATGGCAGGTTTGGTGATTCCCTGGATGTTATCGCGCAGAACTTTACGGTGACGCTTCGCGCCTCCTTTTCCGAGCCCTTTCCCGCCTTTGCCTCTTCCAGACATGTTTATAAGATCGTAGAACTGGTCAAACGATGACGAAGAATGAATGACGAGTGTTGAAGCGAGACCTTTTACATCTGCTTACAGGACCTGACAGAAACCAGCACCGTCACATGAGCGCGCCCCTCCCCCAAAATATAGAGCGCGAAACATTTAACCGCCACCCCGGTCTGCAGGAGTCTTTCCCTTGTTTTATATTAAATATTTAAGTAATAATTTAATCAGATAATGTTTTTTTACAGTAGTTAATATTGAACAGCGCTGTTCTACAAGCTCAGCAAAGTAAACAGAGAGAGAGACACAAGTCATCAAATCACAATATTGAATATAGTAAAATTATGAATAGCGACATCTGTGATATTATATTAATGTCATGTGTGTGTGTGTGTGTGTGTGTGTGTGTGTGTGTGTGTGTGTGTGTGTGTGTGTGTGTGTGTGTGTGTGTGTGTGTGTGTGTGTGTGTGTGTGTGTGTTGAAATGAAAATGTTTACGGGAATCCTATTAAAATGTCCACACACAGACGGCAATATCTGAAATCCTTGTCCCGTTTAGATTCACTCTCACATGTTCACGCATATATTGGTTTTGTTAGTGAGAATATGCGCTTATAATGAAATAATTTATAACGTGCTTTTTTCTGCTTAATGAAAATAGGCGCATTGTGATCATTTAGTTGTGCTTATCACTGGCTGTCTGATACAAATGCTATAAACCCTGATCGAATCAAATGTTTTAGTTAACGGTAAAATCGCATGCTTTCCCCCCTCATAATTGCCCAGACCAATCTTTTACTGATATCATAGAACACACTGCATTTGATCTTGTTGCTTTATATTCAGCGTTAATGTGGAAATTGTCTCGTTTATAGTAAGTGGTGTGGCTCTTAAAAGAGCCGTTGGGGTGTGATGCGCGTGCACAGGGGGTTTAAGCGCGCTCTCCGCGGATGCGGCGCGCCAGCTGGATGTCCTTGGGCATGATGGTGACTCTCTTGGCGTGGATGGCGCACAGGTTGGTGTCCTCGAACAGACCCACCAGATAAGCCTCGCTGGCCTCCTGCAGGGCCATGACAGCGGAGCTCTGGAAGCGCAGGTCCGTCTTGAAGTCCTGGGCGATTTCTCTCACCAGCCGCTGGAAAGGCAGTTTGCGGATCAGCAGCTCGGTGGACTTCTGATAGCGGCGGATCTCCCGCAGAGCCACGGTCCCGGGCCGGTACCGATGGGGCTTCTTGACGCCGCCGGTGGCGGGCGCGCTCTTCCGCGCTGCTTTAGTCGCGAGCTGCTTCCTCGGGGCTTTGCCACCGGTGGATTTACGAGCGGTCTGCTTGGTTCTTGCCATCGCTGCAGTTTCTCCTCTCTCGGTCCTGCTTGTGCTGGAAATGCTGTTTCTGTTACACGCCTCCTGCTTTTATAGCATTGGACCGTCACGAGCTCAGAGTGTCACGATGATGCAGAGGCTTGTGATTGGCTGGTGTGTGACGTGTGCTTATGACTGATAGCCAATGACTGCGTGTTTCCTCTTTTCAAACAAGCGGAGGGTTTCCCGCTCAAGACGCTTTGTTCTGTTTACTACTTTGCTCAACCCTAATCTATAGGCTTTATTCTCAAATCTCACATTTCTGTATTTATTTGTTCTGAAATACTCTCCTTAATTCCCAGTGGTTGTGCAGATCTCGGATCAGAACAAAATCACATTACAGTCTGTGTAAAAGCACTGCAGCCAGAAATGAAGACACGCTTGTTGCCCTCCGGATAGTTGAGTAGAGCAGCTAAAGGGCAAAAGACCCACAGTAACATTGATTAGTTTCTGTTACACTAGAAATCCTCTAAAGCTGATGTGTATTTAGCTTTTTATTTTGGATAGTCAATTATAATATTCAATACATTATCAGAGCTTGGTAGACAAACAGGTAACTATTTTATCCCTCTATGGTATGGTGTCGCCTCAAGTGTATTTTAGTTTATTTTTATTAAAATGAGACACCCATTTATTGGCCAAACCTCTAGCGGAGAAGAACTCAAACAGTAATCAATGAAAGATTTGTCTTTTGTGTCTTGTTTCAGCACATGTGCACAGGTCACACGCCTCCATATTTTCAATATTTTAACTCATTTGCATCCAGTTAATAACCCACAGAAATATGAGTCACCTTCACTGGTTAGTAAAGAAGTATTTTCAAGAGCTTAACATTATATATCATCAAATGTTTTAGAGGAAATCACAAAAAACTGTGCGTTACCTCAAGGCAACATTATATCATAAGGCCATACCAGGCATACTGGGTTAATACAGATATATTATATTTGTAAGGAAAAGAGTTAGAATTATTTAAGTATATATGCATTTTTGCATGATTTTGTAATGCACTAATAAGAATAGCAATTCACATACTACTGTATTTCTGCACGCGGGTGGTACATTTAGGCTGGAATTTATATATATATTCAATTTTAGGCATACAAAATTTAAATGGTATGTACTCTCACTAATTTACTAATCACTAATCTACACCACACATCTCTTTATCATTACTATCTGAAGATGTAAAAAAAATTGTGCAGATTCGTAAGATTTTGTATTATTTATGCAAAGTAAGACATCTCTCCTCTGCCTTTCCAGATATTTTAGATTAATTATGTTAAATCCCCTTATAAATCTGTCAAAATGCGTGTGACTCTTGCTGATGTTTCTTCTGTTGTTCCAGTGACTTTTTTCATGATTTATAAAAAAAAAAAAAGATTTTTATGGTCAGAAATCTCAATGTCGCACCAAATGACAGTGTCACACTTTATGATGAACCGCAGACCACAATTTGTCAATGCAAAAAAAGTGTATTTTATATGCATTGAACATTCAATCTCTTCAATTCAGTTAACATTAATAAGAATAAAAATCAGCAAACATACTAACATCGTTTTAAAACTTTTAAAATGTTATTTAAGAAACTCAGAAATATAAACAGTAAATCAAACATCTCACGTCAAGAACATTCAACATGAACATTTTAAAATGAGAAGAGAGTGTGTGTTGTAACAACAATTATGATTGTTAAACAGTAAAAATATTATCAATCTATAATTAGTCAAATGTTGGAGACATTTCTAATGATATCAAACATGTATAATGTTGTATGATAATTGTTCACATTAAACCATTTATATTTGTGGATGAATTTGAGGTGGTTTGAACATGTGGAGAGAAGAGATCGAGGAAGAGGAGAAGGGAATGATGAAGACACTGAAGTCATCGGATCGACCGACAGTGTGAACAAGTGTTTTAGACCTTCTGAAATATATGAGTATATGAATATAGTTATTTTTTACCCAGAAACCAATGCAGATATTACAGAAGATGACACCGGTCACACATTATATTGTATTTATTTATATATAGAGCGCTTCATAGGCTGCAGGAACTCTAAAGTGATGTACATCCCAATAAAGCAATCATAAAAAATAAAAACAATCAAAAACGACCAGAAACCTACGGAGTGTTGCACAAGAAACATTACTAATTAGGTCTTAAAGGCAAATATATGGTAATAAATGCCATATTTAAATGATAATAATCATTCCCAAGGGAAGCATCTATAATGGAACAAGCCAGGGCCCGGATGGACCCCTGTGGACCCACTGGTGCTGGAGAACAACAGCCGCCCTTCACTGTAAAGGTCTTTGCTCCAGTCGGATATCAAATCTGACACAAATCTGCATATGAACAGCTGTGATACTCAATATGGACAGTTAATAATTTAGCTCAGATTCCAATAGAAGGTTTCAGTGTGAACATGATCTCTGTACGGTTTCCCTCTTTCCCTCGGGATCTCCTCTCTCCTGCACGAGTCTTTCCCCGTATTTCTGTCTCTTTACTCGACATTTCTGCCTCAAACAGACAAACAAAATCATCTTTTAATATGAAAAGCATGGCAAACATGGTGAAATTAAGTATGAAACCGAAAAGGAATTCATTATTGTATGGGTGATTTAATGGTCACCATGAAATTCATTAAATAGGTTTTGAACATTTATTTATTTATCATTAAAAAGATGTAATATTGTGTGACAAATATATCATAGTGTCATATGACGTTTTGTTCAGTTAAGCTATTCTCTTGGTTAACTAAAAACATCTAGCTTACACTTAGCATGTTGAAGGGTTGGTCAAAATCCCTTGCCTCTTCAAATACATATATAATCATATATCATTTTGAATGGTTATATACTTCCTTTATAAAAATCAATAATCAAATATATTCATTATCACATAATAATTTTTATATTCTTGTGCTTGTGAAATTATATTTTCTTAAATGCATGGATGCAAGTAACCAGTTTCTTTTAGGTGCATTCCAATCTTACTTTGAGATTGCACGTAGTACACGCAGGACACGAAGGCCACGTAACCCACAAGGCCGTTTGTCTCTTTCTCTGGGATCAGTAGAAAGGTTAGAGGGTCCTAAAGGCAGCGTGGGCACATATGATTCTTCGCTGGACATATGGTCAAGCTATATTGAGCGTTACTATCAAACTTGAATTGTTGTATTAAAATGTATTCTTTCCAGTATATTTCCTTCCTTGGGAGTAAATGCCAGTGATCTGTTTTTCTCCCAAACGAGTGAATGTTTTAGCAGTATGTTTTGGTATACTTAACTGATAATAAGGAGCTCAGACTCTCTTCAGCCTTGATGGGAGCTGTTATTTGCTAGTGTCTGTTATTTGTGTGTGTGTGCGTATGACATTCTATGTAGGTTCTGGACGTTCGGACCAGACACCCCGGCGCCCTTCTCTAACCTGCGAGGCCACCACAGGCCTAAATCTAATGAGTGGACGACAACTATCTTTACTAATGGCGATAGGCACCCCTATCTCCTCACATGTGTTAAATTGTTTAGGCTTTAATGTTTCTTAGCCAATGAGAATCATTCAACCTGTAAGCAATGACGTAGCTTAGACCTTGGAAATGGTATAACTGCTGTGATCTTTGTAACTGTAAGGGAGGCGGCCTACGAACTCCTGTGTGAGTCTTGAAGCTGGCTTCTGCTGATGAAAATGCAAACTATCTTCAGTAAAACTTTTCTTTAATTTTTTATAATTCTGACTCCGGGTCTTCATTCTTCATATCTGGTTCTGGGTCTTTGACTGTATACCCCTTACAGTTATGGTGGAGAATGCGGGCAATTATTCTCGGTGACACCCCTGGCAAATCAACAAACAAGGTAGTAAGCTTTTGTTAATTGTTAGGGCTGTCTGACTGGAAGAGATTTTGAAGGAGAGCGGGAGAGCTTCACTCCGATGAGGCGAGTGAAGCTTCACTCCGATGAGGCGAGTGAAGGAGTAAGTTAATTATACTGCTGACAGTATAAGAAGTCGCTGAGAGCGTCGTTAAGGGTAACGGCAGCAGACAGCGCAAGCGAAGCGTGCTCTGTGGGGGCCCCGCTGGGCATTACTGGTGTAGCACCACCCCAGCAGAGCACGTCCCTGGGCTAGAGGTCCAGTGGCACCGTAAACCTGCTCAATCTCTTCCATCTCAGATAGGGGATCCCCGAACTTAGTGAAGTGAATCAGGCAGTTAGGGATACTAACAATAACAGGGTTGTTTGCCAGGGATGCATCAGGAACGATTCCGAGAGAAAAATTAAAAAAGTTGTGACCCAAATTGGCATGGACCAGTATATGTAACTGTGATTTTGGAGTATACTTTGCAGTTTCATCACGCAGAAGCCAAGCTGTGTTGTTCAAAGATCGCCGCCTCCATTTCTGCAATAACTTCAGGTGAGTATGAACCATGATTAAGATATGGCAGAAAAATGTAATGACTTAATCAGTAACCTGAAGAGTCCTGAAACAAATAGTGAGACAGGAAAAGCAAACGCTGTAAGCAGCTGTGCTCTAAAGCCCTCACTTTAAATAAATTTGCAGAAATGATTAAGTAAATGGTAGTCAGGATTTTGATTCTGATTGGAAATTTAAACAACTTGACTGGCTACAACCAAACAAAGAAACTGAAAAATTAAAATGTTTAGCCTCGTATTGCTTACGATGATTACAAGAAGCAAGTGAAAGAAATTCTGGGTCAGGGATAATTTCCCTCGACAAGCGACTAAAGTTAAACAGACACTTTGTGAAAACAATATTTTGCAGCTTATGAAAATTAATGTTCTGCCAATAATAATGATGAAGATTATGATTGGGCTATTATGATTAAATCCGCCACTGGTGGACTGTAAAAGAATACAGAGAACTGCTTAATCAGTGGCTCTGTTTACATTCCTGAATGGGACACACACTGCTTCAAGGGCGTGCTTGTTGGAGCCGTTGAGGCTGACACACGAACCCTTTTGAAGAAAAGATCTATAATACTAATTTTTAGTGAATTGATGAATACAGGTTGATGTA